GGACGGGGAGGGGTGCTGGCCGGAGCGGGGCCTCTGCGCGGGATCTTTAGGAAGAGGGCGGGCCCAGCTGCAGGGACCACATGGACAAAGGCAGAGAGGCGTGAGCGGGACACCGGGACGGACATGCCCGTCTGGGCCGGGGCCTCCCTCCCTGTCGGGCCGCTAGCTGACCTGGCGGATGGGGTGGCCTTGGACGCTGCAGATTCAGAGAACTTCAGCTCTGAGGCCCAGGACCCATGAATGGCAGCGCAGTGTCCTCTCACTGCTGCCCTAAAAGGAATGATAATGATTTAAAAAACGAAAGCTGTTAAATTTACTTATCCAGCGTTTTCCAACTTAAGGCACCAAAGGTGTCCTTTTCCCCAGAGCGAACCTCCATGGCAACCCTAGGCTACACCCCTTTACAGCCCTCCCCTGGGGAGCTGGGGCTCCAGGGAACACACCTCGGGAAACCTGGACCGCAGAGAAAGCTTGGCCCCTGCTGTTGTAGGCCCTTAAACTTTCTAGTTCTTTGAGGTGCCCTGCTCCTTGGCTGTAGCAAAACCTGCGAGATTTTATGTATATATATCTACAGATACAGATATATCTGTAGATATATATACACCTTTGGGCTTTGCAGGGCGATATTTGGGCGGCTGTTGTGGAGGGTAAGGTGTTGGTTCACTGCGAGGGGAAGGGGTCACCCGCCTCACGGTCCAAGCCTGTTGCTGTCACAGGCTGCTGTCCTTGGTCTGATGCACTTTTCCACCGTTTGCATTAAAAAAGTAAGCCGGAGACTCTCTCCCTCCACGTGTCTAGGTGGGGCCTGGCCCACGTGCTTCTGAGTGTTTTTCTGTACCCTTTTATTTGGGTGGGGGAATATGCCCCAAAACTCCCTCTTTGCTTAGAATGGAAGACAACCCACAGGAAGCAGTCTTCCGCGAGGTGGTGAGTTTCACCCCGGATCCTCTGCCAGGTAAGAAGCGCTGAGGCCCTCAGCACCGTCACCGAGCTCACTCCTGGGGCGGCCGGGCCAACCACTTCCTGCCTCAAGCTCTCTGAGTTATGGTCAGAGCATCATGAATGACCCCACCATTTCCACTGCTCCCTCTCCTGACCAGCTAGATACTATGACAAGGACACCACCAAGCCCGTCAGCTTCTACTTCTCGTCGCTGGAGGAGCTCCTGGCGTGGACGCCCGCCGTGGAGGAAGGCTTTAATGTGGCCTTGGTGCCCGCCCAGTGTCGGCAGCCCCCCCTGAGCAGCCGGCGGCCCCGCACCTTGCTCTGCCATGACATGATGGGCGGGTACCTGGATGACAAGTGAGGACATTGCGAGGGCTTCGCCTGCTTTTCTTTTTGGCTTGTTTTCATTTGGTGGCGGGAGGGGACCGCACGGCAGAAAGAGCCCTGGATGGGGTGGTGGGAGACAGGCAGAGAGCAGCTCTGTGCTTCACGTGGAAGAAAAGGGGGTGGGCCGGGGGTAGCCACGGCTCTGTCGGCTCTGAGACCTGGCCCGGAACTCGGCTCTTCCCCCGATACCTTGCTTTTCCTTCCTTACCTGGGCTCTGACTCCACCTCGGCCCCTGGCTCTGGCCTTGGCTGCGTCAAGCTATCACAAGTCCCTCCCGCTCCCAGCCAGGGACATTTGCCCCTGAGTGGCACCCGTATCAGCTCACAGATCTCCACTGTCCAGAAAACAGTCTTGGACAGATGGCGGGCAGGAAGGCTCGCGTCCGAGCTGGCCACCCAGGTGGAGGCGGAGGCGGCAGTGAAATCTCGGTGTCTTACGAGCGGGGCTTGCTGTCTCTACCTGGAGGTCACTGTGCCTCTGTTCTGCTCCGTGGGTCCTGACTTGGTTCTGCTTCTGTCCCCAGGTTTATTCAGGGCTCAGCGGCGCAGGACCCCTATGCCTTCTACCACTGGCAGTACATCGACATCTTTGTGTACTTCAGCCATCACATGGTCACCGTCCCCCCGGTGTGCTGGACCAACGCGGCGCACAGGCACGGGGTCTGCGTGCTGGGTAAGAGCCGAGAGGCGCCTCCCACTCGGCCACGCTCCTTCGCACCCCTGCCCGGTGACCCAGCGATGACAGGGCTGGAGAGCAGAGTAAACGTCTTGAGCTTTGCCGGCCACTGGGCCATAGTTTAGCTGCCGAGGAGACAGTAGCCTCCACAGACAACAGGCGAGCAAACGGTGGCTGCGTTCCAGTAAAATCGTGTTTACAAAACCAGGCGGGGGCTGACCCCGGGCGCAGCCGCGAGTCTCAAGCCCGCGCCTGCATCGGGTCCTTTACTGGCTTGGCTGACGCCCACGCCGGCTCCACCCGGGTGTCTGATTCACAGCTGGCCTGGTGATGCCCGGCGCAGGGACCGCACGGCCGAGGCGCAGGCGGAGGTCAGAAGGGGACGTCCCCACACCCAACCTCCTGCTCTCCTGCCCCGCAGGCACCTTCATCACCGAGTGGAAAGAAGGCGGACAGCTGTGCGAGGCCTTCCTGGGGGGCGACGATCGCTCGTACCAGGCGGTGGCGGATCGGCTGGTCCTCATGGCTCAGTTTCTGCGCTTCGATGGCTGGCTGATCAACATTGAGAACTCCCTGAGTGTGAGCACTGCCTTTCTCGTGGCGCCGGTCCAGCCCAGCCCCTGCTGCCACGGGTGTCCCTCCACGGCGTCCTTGGCCTCGCCTCGCCTCGCCTGCACCCAGGCCCGCTCCCTGTTACAGCAGCTGGGGCCGCTTCTTGCTTCCCAGTGACAGCCAGCGCTTGCCTGCGTTACCTGGAGAGCCGTGTCCGGGAACCACGGGTGGCCGAGCTTTGCTCCTCTGGCTCCTTTGAGGGGACACCTGTCCTCCGCCTCTGCTCGGCTTGGGCTGTGCGTGTAGCTTCCTCTCCCGGCGCACCCTCTTCCGTGGCGTTGATCTTTCCCCGACTGCTGTGCCCATGTCCTTCCCGCTTCAGAAAGGAGAGTCGGCACCTGGCTGGACCCCCAGTCAGTAGCTGTGGGGTTGAGAGGCTTCTGGGGCCACGGCTTTGTTTTTTTTTGTGGGATTCAGTGTCCTGTCTGTTCTGCGCCGGACACTTGTGACAAACACCTTTGGGCCTCTCTCCAGGTGGCTGCTGTGGGGAACACGCCCCGTTTTCTGCAGTACCTGACCACTCAGCTCCATCAGCAGGTCCCGGGGGGCCTGGTGCTCTGGTACGACAGTGTGGTGAGCAGTGGGCAGCTCAAGTGGCAGAATGAACTCAACGAACACAACAGGTGAGCCCCCAGGACGGGCGCCACCTGCAGTGATGAGGGAGAAGGCAGAGTCCTCCGGTCACCTGGCCATTAGAGGTGGTTCGTGCCTGGTCACCGGGTGCTGTGCAGGGGCCTGTAGGTATGGGAACGGGCTGGGCCCCTGCTCTCGGTCCTGGAGGCAGCCCACGGCCTGTGGTCGTGAGTGGATGCAGGTGCTGGGAGGGGAAGGAAGGCTGAGACCACAGGACGGGCGCTCGGCCCCTCACCTGGGTCCCCACCCCTCGCCCCTCGCAGGGTCTTCTTTGATGCCTGCGACGGCATCTTCACCAACTATAACTGGGGGGAGGAGCACCTGGAGCGCATGCGGGGCCCGGCCGGGGAGCGCCTGGCCGACGTCTACGTGGGAGTGGACGTGTTCGCCCGGGGAAACGTCGTCGGGGGCCGGTTCGACACCAACAAGGTGAATGGTGGCCCCGGAGGCTGCGGTGTGGCCCAGCGGCCCATGCGCCTCCCACGAGAGGCCTCCTTTGCTGTGGGCCTTTCATCCCAACTCCCATCAAGGGAAAGAGGCGCCGTTATCCTTCCCAGAGTGGGGAAACTGAGGCACCAAGGAACATCAGTGATCTGCCCTGAGGCCAAGCTGTGCCCCAAAGTCCTAACATCCACCCATTTCTGCGGTCAGATGGTACTTCCTAGAGGTGCCAGTGCCCAACGTGGGTCTCTGCCTCCTTTTTGATGACACACTTCGGAGGACACTGAGCTGGCATCTTAAACCGTCGGGTGACTTCCTTTCACAGGCAGCTCAGGGCCAAGGACAGAGGTGGAACTCCAGCAGTTCGGGGGCTGCTAGTGCAGTGGCTACTGAGGTTTTCTGGCAAGTTCAGCCCCATTGGCAGCGAGGAGAGAGATGGGCCTGGGCACCAGGGCTGGTGTACCTGTGTGGGATAAATGAGGAGTCACCCTGACTCCTGGGCTGTCGATCCTGCTCCTTGCAGGGGGCCACAGGGACATTCTCACTCGTTAGTGGAGCTTAAGTGATTAATTTAATCCAATAACTGAATCTCTTCACCCGCCATGAGTCTGACGGCATAGTGGGACGTGTAGTGACAGGTGGCTGTGAGCGCCCCACCTGCAGGCTCCTGCTTACCAGGCCCTTTCCTGCTGTAGTGCCCACTCTGGTCACCTGTGGGACCAAAGGGAGTCAACTTCAACTACCAGGCCAAGCTGGGAGGGAGAGGGCAGCCCTGGCCTCCTCTCTAGGCCCCGTCTGGACCCTGGTCCGTCCTGGTGTCCCCAGCATCCCCCTGACTGCTGTCTCCCCAGTCCCTGGAGCTGATTCGGAAGCACGGGTTCTCAGCGGCCCTGTTCGCGCCTGGATGGGTGTACGAGTGTTTGGAGAAGACAGATTTCTTCCAGAACCAGGACAAGTGAGTCCTGCCCGGCGGGGGCTTTTGAGTGTGGCTGATGCTGGCGAGAGGTCTCAGGCGACTACTCTGACTTCTTGAAGCAGCTCAGGCCTTGCTCTCCGGGGGGCTCAACCACCTTGCCTGCTTCCAGGGGGGAGGGTCCCAGAGACCCTGAGGGGCTGCATCCCACACGTGCGCCTCCCACACATCTGTGGTCTAGGGGTGCAGCCACTGCAGGCGGTGCGGGAGACCTGTGTCGGAGAGTTCGGGGTGGTCGAGCGCCCTCCGCTCCAGACTCCAGCTGCGGCCTCCACGTGTTTCTCTGTAGGTTCTGGAGTTTGCTGACTCGCTACCTGCCCACCCACAGCATCTGCTCCTTGCCCTTTGTCACCTCCTTCTGCCTGGGCATGGGAACTCGCAGAGTCTGCTATGGGCAGGTTTGTGGGCCACCAAGCTGGGTGATGGGGGCAGTGGGCTTCCTGACTGTGCCACGTGGTGGCAAACGAGCTGCTTTTTCTCCGAGTCTTGGGGCCTTGCCTGGGAGAGGTGGGAGGGGCCTGGGTGCTCTGCGGGGACGACGGCGGCTCTGTTCTTCCTGTCACTTTTGTGCACTGTCTGCCCACAGCTCACCTCCAATCCTGCCTCTCTCTCCAGGAGGAGGCGGTGGGGCCCTGGTCCCACCCCAGTGCCCAGGAACTGCAGCCCCTGTTTGGGGAGCACAGACTGGAGGGCACTGGGCAGGGCTGGGTGAAGACGCACAGCTCCCTGGCGGACGCCTGGCACGGGGGCAGCTCCCTGCTCATCCAGGGGGTGATTCCGCCCGAGGTCAGAGACGTGGCCGTGAGGTAGGTGCATGAGCCGGGACGGGGTGTGTGGGGGTCACCAGCTCCTCCCACTGTCCATGTCTGTCCGCTTGACTGGGCAGCGGAGGCCAGAGGATAGAACCACGATGTTTTTATTGCCATACAAAGCCGTGACACAGTTTATCGGCTCTGAGTGTACAGGAGTGTGAACTCCGCTCGCTGGTGTGAGCCTCCAGCACTTCTCATCCTGCACAACTGAAAGTGTCCCCAGTGGAAACCCGCCTACCCCAGCCCTGGCACCTCGCCCGCGCCCTGTCCTGTGACTGGACTACTTTAGCTTCCTCGTGTGTGGAGGATTTCAGAACTGAGACTTTTCAGCCACAGGGGGATCTGGCCTTGGGGGAAGGCTGTCCCCCACGTGGGCGGGACTGGGGCCTCTGCCACCTAAATTCCCCTTCCCTGGAGGGAGAGGGCGGCGGTGCAACCTGGCCACCTGGTGTCTGCTCGTGTCCCTGTGGCCTCTCATCCAGGACCTTCCTCCTCCAGGTTATTCACCCTGCATGTCCCGGTGCCCCCCAAGGTCTTCCTGTCGCTGGTGTACAAGCTGGAAGGGCCTTCAAGTGTCAGGGTGGCCTTGGAGCTCACCACGGGGGATGCGGGCAGCTGTCACGTTGGTGGCATCTCAGCACTGAATGGTGAGGGGACAGGGTGGCTCCTGCCTTCCTTCTAGGCCTCTCCCTTCTCAGGACACCTGGGGGGCAGGGGAATCCTGAAAGGTCTTTGGGGGGTGTGCAGTGTGGGCGGTGTTGGGCAGTTATGCCTCCGCAGTTGATGGCGCCACTGTGGTCCGCTCTGGACAGGGAGGTTCGCTTCTCTGTCAAAACCTCTGGCTTGTAGCCCCCTTTGGGGAGCAGGCCTCCTGCCGGCCATGGTGTTGACAAGGAGGATACCCCAGGGGTCAGGGAGGTGGCCAGTCCTGGGCATCCTTCTGCATACCCGCCTCCTCTCCATCCTGGTCTCCTTCCCCTGTGGCCTCAGCCTGTCCTGGACGGCCAAGTGCCTGGGCCACTAGGGAGTCTCGCCCAGCTCCCGGGCCCCTGCTCAGCGACTCCTTCTGGTGTGGCTTCCTGTGTATTGTTCTCTTTCTCAAGTCCTGTGTCCCCTTTCCCGGCAGAAACAAGCTCCAGGCATAGACCCCGGCCCCTCCGGGTGCCCCCCACCAAGCTGGCCAGATGGGCGGCCCGCTGTGGCCAGCAGCTCAGTGGGGGCTGGGTCCAGCGGTGAGTCCCTCTCCTTCCTGTCGAGTCGCCATGGGGGATGGCACTGTGCTGGGGATTGGGGAGTAAGGGGTCCTCTGTTGAGAAACCCCAGAACTGGAGGGATGGCGGGGCACGGGACTGAGCCCCAAGTTTCAGGCAGCTCCCACAAACTAGCTCAGGACACTGGGAGCAGTCACTGTCACTGAGCCTCAGGTCCGGGGTTCCTTACTGACCGCAGGGTCCACTTTGGGATGGGTGCCTTCCCCCCACACTTGGCGCCTCTGACCAGCCAGCTTGATGGCTCCGAGCTGGGTGGCCCGTGACCAGCCCGTTCCGTGTGCCTGCAGCTGCTACGAGCTGAGCCTGCGGGGCTGCCTCCTGCAGGACCTCTTCGTCAGCTTCTCCCGGCCTCCGGGCAGCCAGGGCGAGGAGACCTTCGTCTGTCGCCTTGGAGAGATCCAGGTTAGGTGCCTGGGAGACTCCTCGTCCTCGCTGGGGCGTGGCTGGGGCGTCTGTCCCGCTGCCGAGCAGGCAGAACGCTGCCCGAGCTGGCACCCTTGTCCTCTCCCCTCTGGTTTAGGGAGGTGGGGTGGGGGCGTCCGGGGCGCACCTCGGGCCTCCGGGGCTTTCCGGCCATGCCGAGCCTTCTCTCCTGCCAGGTGGTGGACGCCGACAGCCTGCTGAGCCCCCTGCCCCAGGTGCAGTCCGTCGCCGTGTCCAGGGCGCGCTGGCAGCGGGCGGCCCCTGAGGGGGGCCTTGAGGCCGGGCTCCGGCTCAGCTGCACCCTGCACTGGTCCTACCACCTGCCCCAAGTGCGATGCTTCCGGATCCACTGCTGCCGGGGGACAGGAGGCGGCCCTCCTGGGGGGCCGGGGCTGGAGAAGCCCACGCTCCTGGGCCTGGCTTTTGTCAACCAGTACCGGGTCGTGGACCTGGCGGTGGCGGAGCCCGGGCCCGGCCAGGACGGCCGCGTGGAGTTCCTGGTGGAGCCCGTCCCCAGGGAGGGGTTCCTGGTGCCTCAGGCCGAGTGGGGCAGGGTGGCCGTGCTCTACTCCATGCCTAGCACGTGAGCGGACTCTGAAGTCGGTGCCCACCCCCTGGCTAGGGCGCCTTCCACGCTGGGGCGCAGACTGTACAGATGGCAGCAGGAGACCCCAGGTCCTGTGGCTTTCGGGGCGGGAACATCGGTAACAGGCCAAGGAGTTGGTCTGCTGGGTGCTGATCCCCTGAGGTGCGCGGAGCCTCGTCTTTGTCTAATCCCTCTCTGTAGTACTCAGTCCCCAGGGAAAAGTGGAAGGATTGGGGAAAGTCGAGTCCAGAAAACTCCATAAAGGGCATTTCCTAACAGGCTAATGCTGAGGATGGTGACCTTTTTTTCTGCAGATGGAACAAATAGAAACGAGCTAAAATCATGGCAGGGAGGCTTTGGAGCAGGGCCTGGGGACATTCCTGCGGGTGCAGACAGCTAGCAGACGCCCCGTGGGGGTGCAGTGAGGGGGGTGCTGGGTACTCCAGATGGTACCTGGGGACCGGCCCGCTTCCCCTTAGCAGGGGGAGCCCAGTGCCAAGCCCCGTGAGCTGCACCTCCACCTGGGGAGGTGGGTTGCCGCCATCTGGACCACCTTGTGCTGTGGCTTTCCCAACTTACTGTCCCCCTGGGCCGGGAGCCTTCCCATTGGCCCATGTCCTGCTATATCTCTCCAGGATTGTACGTATGGGCGGAACTGGTGTGGAGCAGGCTGCACTGGGCTTGGCTTCGGTGGGGTGAGGGAGAGTCCAGGCTTGGGGAGCAGGGGGCCCAGGCGGGCCCAGGTGTGCAGCCGGCCCACAGCCTTCCTCGCCTCTCCAGGGAGGGTATGGGGTGGCAGCCTCTCTGCTGCTGTCTCCCAGCGCCTTCCTCCTCCCGAGTGCTGAGGGTGGCAGTGGCTCTGCTCGGGGAGGAGAGGGGGTGAGCCTGGAGGTGGCTTCTCCAGCCACACAGCTCCCCTGCTGGCCCCACTCCTGGGCCTTAGGTAATCCTCTCCAGTGCCCGAGAGGGGACAAAGGCCTGAAGTCCCTTGTTCTTGGGGTCTCTTACCCCAGGCCTCCCGGCAGTGCATCCCTATTGTCCTCGACCCCTGCTACACGATGGGAGTGGTGCTAAGGACCAGGACACTGGTCACCTCCTAGCTGCCTGTGTCCAGGCTCCCAGTCCGCAGACCTGACTGCGCTGCAGTGAGGGGAGAGGCCACCAGGTGGCAGTGCAACCCCTGCCTCTCCCCTCGGCCCAAGGGCACCGGGAGGGGGGCAGGGGCGCAGGGTTGTGCAGGCAAAGTCAGAGCCTGCGGGACAGCCAGAGGGGGCGCTCAGGGCGACCGGGCTCCATCTCCACCTGCCCTGCCTCCCGGTGCCCACACCCCCCTTCCACAGCACAACACAGGAATCTTTCCCTGTCTTTCCCAATTGGGCACGTTCGCGTCTCAGGCCCCACACGCGTGGCCCAGCCAGCTCGGGGGCGGGGAGGGCTCCTGCGGGACAGAGACACCTGAGCGGGCTCGGCTTTTCTCGGGTTTGACAATTCCCCTGAGTGCTCTGGCCTCCCGTCCTTGACCGGGGCTCCTGGCCTTTGTCCCGACCTGGGAGCCTGCGGGCTGGGCCGGCCGGGCGCCTGAAGCGGGCCACGCAGCTGGAACCTATCTCACGGAGCCCATTCTTTTTAAAGTGCGGGCTCCCCCGGATGTTTTATGCAGAGGAGGGAAAATTTATAGTGGCAATTATTTTCACACAGTCTGGTGAGCAAGCAATTAGAAGCAGGGGCTCAGCCGAGCACCGCGCCGCAGAGGCGCACAGCCCTGCTCCCCAGGAGCGCGGTCCCGTCCCGCCGCCGTCAGGGCTGGAGCGCAGGATAATTAATACGTCGGCACTTAAGCCCGCCCCCGCCCCGTGGGTGTAACTGCTCCGAAATAAATTACCCGACCTCGTGAAGATGAAGAACTTGAGTCCGGGAGATGGGGCGCGGGTTCAGGGGGCGCCGCGGGCTCCGCAGTCTGGCCCTGTCCCAGGCCCCAAGCCCAAGGCGCGGAGCTCTTGGTCTGGTGTCTGCCGCTCCCCCTCCTGGCTCCCCCTCCTCTTCCGGGGCGGTGGGAGGGTGTCATGCGCGTCTCCACGCCCAGCCCTCCAGGGACGGGGCTCACACGGGCGGGAGCCTCTAGACGGCTACCCCGGAAGGGCCCCCTGCCCGCAGCTCCACCCGCACACCAGCGGCGTGCGCTGTGGGCGGACCTTAGAGCCCTCAGGCCCCAGCGCTCCTGACTGACAGTGCCCCTGACAGCGCCCAGAGCAGCCCACTCCCCGGGACACCCAGCTGGGCCTGGGGTGAGGGGTGGGAGAGGACGGTCTGGAGCAGAGGTCCGGGCGCTAGAACCTTGCCCAAACTCCCCGCGGGCCACCGGGGGTCAGCGCGGGCAGGCTGTCTCCTGGGACAAGCTGCCTGCCCTCCAGGGCCCTCCACCCTTGTGCCCGGGAGCTGCCCAATCAGAGAGTTGTCCTGATTTGAAGAAAGAAATCTTTATTAATAATCTTAATAATAATACTGCGAATTTGAATGGTCACACCTGGGAAGCATACAGAATGGTAAGAAAGGAAGCCAGGGCCTAGCTGCAGTCCTGGGCTGGGGCGGACTCAGCGGCTGCGAGAAAAGGGGCCAGCTCCGCGGGGCTCTGTACAGGGGCGCGCTGGGCAGGGCTATGTACACGGGACTAGAAAAGGAGACTCGCTCCAGGAGCGGATGCAGATACAAAGTGAGGTGTCGGCCTTACTTCTGAAGTTTCACGAGACAGTAGTGGAGCCCTGTTGGGAGCCTGGGTTTGTTGTTTGTGGTTTTTTTGCTGTTGCCCCGACTCCAGCTATCTGCCTGGCCAGGGGCTTTTCCCTGTTACTGCCGTCTGCTGCCCCCTCCCCCTGCGGCCCTCCTCCCCCTGCTCTGGTCTGGCCTCTAGACCCATAGCACCGTGACTCCCAAGCTTGCTGTGCAGCCAGGCGCCGGCCCGTCCCTTGGCTCCCTTGCGGCACTGGGCTCTCTGCAGGAGAGTGGCGGGGAGGGCTTGTCCAAGCAGGCACCATGAGGTCAGCTGTCCCTCCCACAGGCCAGGCTCAGGGCCTCCTCCAGAAAGGGAACCGGGCACGGCCAGTCCGAGCAAGTCATTGGCCTGGAGGCCCCCACCGTCCCACGTTCTTAGGTACAGGAGTCAGTCCTGGCTGGGAAGTCCGGGAGCCCCTTCCCGAGGAGGGAGGGATGCCTGGGTGCCCCCCCTAGTTCTGGAACCACATCAGCCCTTGGTGTTGGGGTTGGACCCCAGGGCTGCTGGTTGGACAGCCTTGGCGGCCTGCCAACGCCTTCCCTGGGTTTGCAGGACATGGGCGTTGTTGGCATGGAGTGAGGGTGAGCTGGGTCCCAGAGAGCGCGACACAGGGTGACTGGGCAGGGGCCGAAGCCAGAGCCCGGGAATGAAAAGCTGCCCCCCTCCCTGTGCCCACCCCGGCACAGCGTCCCCTCCACTGGCACAGTTGGCGACAAAGGTCAAGTCCTGCGGGCTGGCTCTTCCCTGCGAGGCCTGAGGCTCCCCCCCTCGGGCCCCACACCGCCTCTGGATTGGGGGCCAGGAAAGGAAGACTGTGTAGGAAGCCGAGGCCCTTTCCCCTCTCGCTCGCCCCCTGGCCCGGTCGGGAGGGGCGCGGCCGGCTCGCCTGGGCCTGGGCCCGAGCCTGGGCCGGGCGGACGTGCTCCTTGCTGCGGTGCCCCGGCACGCGAGACCTGGACGTGGCGGATGCGTCTTGGTTTGGTTGGTTTTGTTGCTTGGATCTTAACATCTTTTTTTGTTTTGTTTTTTGTTTTGTGATTTTTTTGTTTGTTTTTTTGTTTTTGCCCTTCGCGGTCCGAGAAGGAGACGGTGGAAGGTTTCACTACAACAGAAACAGAGAGGGTCTTGCACTTTCGCGGAAGCGACTGCTGGTGCGTTGGGAGGACAGGGCCCGAGACCCGCAGGCGGGCGCCAGGCACGCGCCCTGGGCCCCCCGGCCACCCACACCTGTCCCCCGCCCAGCTTTGGGGGCCCATAATCTCGCGTGAGCTGGAGTTGGAGGGGACATCTGCTCCCAGGGGCCCGAGGCCTGGCTGGCTCTGGCACTGGCAGGAGGGCCATGTGGGCGGGGTGGAGCGAGGCAGCTGGGAAGGAGGTGCTCCAGACCGTGGGGGGTGCGGGGCTGGCACCTGGGCCTGACCTGCCTACCCCACCAGCAAGGAACCTACACCCTGTCTGGCGGGGGCCCACCCCTCCAGCTGGCCGGCAGCCACGCGAGCCCAGCTCTGGCATCTTTGCTGCCACCCCAGGGCTTCCTTGGCCCGTGCCATTTTTTCCTGTAAGGTGCCTGTGGCAAGGACCTGGCCTGTCTGGGCAGATTCCTCCAGAGGCTCCTCGGCTGCAGCCCCAGCCAGCACCTCCTCCCAGAGCTACATGCCCTGGGAAGGGTGGGAGCAACGGGGCCGCAGCACTGAGCTCCGAGCGCCTCTGGATGAACGGCCAACACCGAGCACTGTGCCCCAGCCTGGCCTGAAGTGGACGTCGCCCGCTCCCACCTGCTCTCCTGCTCAGGCCCTTCCCCTCTGAAACAGACCCTGGTTAAAAGGCCTTCCTAAGCTTGGGGAAAGGAAAAAGGTCCTGCGGCTCCAGTACCAACACCAGGGCCAGGCTGGCCAAGACCCCATCTCAGGGAGGACGGTGGGAGGTGGGCCTGCAGGGGTGGGGAAGCAGCTGTCTGGCCGCCAGGCCTCCTAGCGGGAAGATTCCTTCCTTCACTTTGGTTTCTTACATCAGAGGCTAGGAAACCTCTGAGGCTGGTGTGGCTCCTGCAGGACTAGCAGGAAAAGTCAATAAAATGTAATCAGCCATGTTAGTGTCAGCTGGGTGGGAGAGGCAGGTGGAGTCGCCACTCCTGGACCAGTTGGGTCCGGGGAACATTGGGGAACATTGTCCAGGCCTCAAACCCACGGACTGCCCCCAGCACCCCAGGGGAGGAACAAGGGCTGTGGCCGGGGCTGGCTCGGTGGCTTCCTGGGCGAGGCATCTTCCGTGGCTCTGTGGACCCCAGGGACGGGACGGAATGGGTCACCCTTGTGGGTGTGGCTCTATGGCTAGCGCTTGGGGAGGGGTCCTCTGCCCAGCCTAGCCCCTCCCCCTAAGCACATACCGTACCTGAAATGGCTGGGGTTTGGGGGGACACACAACATCAACAAAGTCAAAATAGGAACCAAGGTTTCAGACATACGGGGTAACCAGGGTCAGAGACACACACGCCCTCGTGGGGGGAGCCCGCCCGGCTGCTGGAGGTGAGACCTATGGACTCTAGCGTCGCAGGGGTCAGCGGTGTCGCTGACCGGGGCGCACTGTCCTCCTGTGGCTGTGCCTGGCTTTGGACTGCTGGGGCTGGTGGGTACTAGACAGCCTGTGAATGCTGTTAGGGGCTGGGCCTCTTGCTAGTAGGGGGTGAAGCGGCTGTACCCTCCTCGGCAGAGGCTAGCCTGCAACATCAAAGATGGAAAACAGCCAATCAGTACCACCTCTGGGTGGGGGGAAAGCAAAAAGGAAGAAAGTAAGGAAAAACAAGAGAAACCGCTAACTCCCGCTGTTTGCCCCACTCGTGGTTTGCCTTG